GCCACTCGACGACCCTGAAGGTGAGCTTGAGTGAACGGGACAGGGTAGTCAGGAACAGAGAAAAGCAAGGGGCAGATTTAACTGCAAAGCTGGTTTATAAAAAGCCACTATAGTGGGGTGGTTAGGTCTACATGAATTAATAAGAGTGTTTTGAGTAGAGCCTGTTATGTAATTGAGCACTCTAGGAGTGTCTGCTGTCATTTTTTAATCATTATTTTTTTGGAGACAGGATCTTGCTCTGTTGTCCAGGCTGGAGTGCAGTGGCACAATCATAGCTCACTGCAGTCTCAAGCTCCTGGGCTCAAGAAATCCTCCCTCCTCAGCCTCTCAAGTAGCTGTGACTACAGGCATAAACCACCACGCAGAGCTAATCTTAAAGTTTTGTGTGTTTTTTTTGGTAGAGATTGGGTCTCGCTATGCTGCCCAGGCTGGTCTTGAACTGATGTCCTCTAGCGATCCTCCCACCTCAGCCTCCCAAAGTGCTGGGATTACAGGCATGAGTCACCATGCCCAGCTCATTATTGTATTATTATTTTCAAGGAATCTGGGTGTAGATAAAACTGGGTATAGATCTAAGGCTGCTCTCTGTTTACCTCCTTTGAGCTTAGTTTTTTCATTTGTCAAATGGGAATAATAACATCCAGCTCATTACATCATCTCACCATGAGAAGTCACAATCATTATTATTAAATAATACTTAGGTAATATTAATATTCATGTTAAAATGATGTTATATTTGGAAGCAATAATAGTAAATGACCTTTGTACAATTTAGTACCTTTTTTTTTAAACGCTTCTCTTATCTTTTCTCAGTTTTGTCCTATAAGGACTAAAGCCCTTTTAGGTTGGGCACAGTGGCTCACACCTGTAATCCCAGAACTTTCAGAGGCCAAGGTGGGGATTGCTTAAGGACAGGAGTTCGAGACCAGCCTGGGAAACATAGGGAGACTCGTCTCTACAAATAATACAAACAATTCGCCAGGCGTGGTGGTGTGCACCTGTAGTCCCAGCTACTCAGGAGGCTAAGGCAGGAGGATCACTTGAGTCCAGAAGGTCGAGGCTGCAGTGAGCTGTGAACCTTTCAAGGTTCCTCTGACATCTGGAATGCTCCAGGGGCTTCTTGCGTGCCTTTACCAATCAGCCCAGGCTACTTCTGCTTGATTGGCTCTGGGCTGGGCTCATGTATTTGGTTGTCTTTGTGAACTCGGCTCCTTCTAGTCACTGCTCAAGCCACTTCCTCATACCTTGGCCCCACCCTGCCGTCACCTTCTCAGGCGGAAGTTTACGCTACACGTGGCTTGATGCTCCAGTGCTGTTCACAATGTCCGCCTCTGTGGTCACTGTGCCTTAGCCCAGAGGAAAACAGCTCCCCTTCCTCAGGGGTCAGCTCTTTCAGAGGGCCCTGCAGCAGGATTTCCTCAGCCCTGAGCTGTTGAGGTTTTTGTCATTTTACTGGTCCTGGGTGGGTCCAAGTAATACCCCACTGTACCCCAAAACAGAAGGCCCATCTCCCTGGACCTTCTGCCTCGAGTTGAGTCTGGCTATTTACCTGGACAACCAGGACTCCATCTTTCCCCAGGGTCATTCTTATCAAAGTCCTTATGGACTGTTTTATGGTTCACAAAACTACAGTGGAGTCACAGCCAACTTTCATTTAACTTGAATAAATTTGGCCAGGTGCAGTGGCTCATGCCTGTAATCCCAGCACTTTGGGAGGCTGAGGCAAGGGGATCACTTGAGGTCAGGAGTTCGAGACCAGCCTGGCTAACATGGTGAAACCACACCTCTACTAAAAATAAAAAAATGAGCCTGGTGTGGTGGTGGGTGCCTGTAGTTCCAGCTACTGGGGGGTGACTGAGGTACAAGAATTGCTTGAACCCAAGAGACAGAGGTTGCAGTGAGCCAAGATTGTGCCACTGCACTCCAGCCTGGGCAACAGGGCAAGACTACACCTCAAAACAAAACAAAAAACCCACAAAAAAACAAAAACAAAAACTTACAGAAATTCATCTACATATGCTTGGCTGGGCCTCCCTCAGGACTTCTGGCTGCATCATGCATTCAATGACAAGTGGATGCAATCCAGCCTGAACCAGAGATAACATTTATATAGCGCTTACTGTATACCAGGCTATACCAGGCACGGTTCTGCATCATTTGAATGCATTAACTCATGAGATAACATTCCTGTGAGGTCAATGTTATTATAGAATGCCCCTTTTATGGAAGAGGAAACTAAGGCAGAAAGGTCTAGTGACAATTCCCAACCCAACCCCGGCTCACAAAGCTAACAAGTGGCAGCTCAAGGGTCCAAATGCACGTGGCTGGCTCCAGCAGGTGCCCTCATTTCTGTGGGATGGTGCCCCTGCTTGAACAATACCCAGCAAATACCTGTGAAAGAATGTGACTGACTGTAAGTGTTCCCCAACCTGTAGAGAAGCAGCAGCAAAGTCCATCATGTGTATTCAGGATTGCCAGAGGTAATTCTGACTGTATGCCCTTTCTCCCTGACACGACAACTTTTGATTACTTTGGAGTTGAACTTGGGAGGCCGAGGTAGGAGGATTGCTTGAGCCCAGCCTGGGCAACATAGTGAAGCCCCATCTCTACAAAAATTAAAAATACAAAAAGATTAGCCAGGCATGGAGGCATATGCCTGTAATCCAGCTGCCTGGGGGGCTGAGGCAGAAGGATTGCTTGAGCCCAGGAGTTCGACGTTGCAGTGAACCTAGATCACGCCAGTGCACTCCAGCCTGGGTGACAGAGTGAGCCCCTGTTTCTAAAAAAACAACAATGACAACAAAAGCTCCCACATTTGCTGCCTCTCCATTATAATTATGCAAAAGCCTGAGCAGAGTGATGGCAAATATCTGTGTGTGCAGACTGAGCCTCCCCAGCTCATTGTATCTGCATTGAAGGCCTTTGTGGCCTTAAGTCTGGCATCTCTCTTCAAGGGTGCTTCTGAACATCTAACCCAGGAAACTCTAAGCAAGTGTTTACTCCATGCCGAGAGCACTGAGAGCAGACACACAAGAGCCTCTGAGTCCAGCAGAGCCAGTGACACAAAGAGGGCCCAGAAGGGTGACTGTCACCTGCAGTCAGATGAGCAGGGTTTGTTCAAGCAGCTCTGTCCCTGCTCGCTGACCTGCCTGTTTTTCCTATGTGTGGGTGATGTGCTTCCAGCAAGGCCCTGCCTGAGCCCATTACTCCAGAAAGTTCAGTGTATACCAATGAAGGTACTGTCTGCATCTTGCTGACAGATGAGTGTGAACTCTAAGCAAATAATCCAGAGGAATGCTAAGGTGCAGCTTGGTGATTTTCTCACTGATCCCTAATGCTGATATTATTATTATTATTATTATTATTATTATTATTATTATTATTGAGATAGGGTCTTGCTGTGTCACTCAGGCTGAAATGTAGCTCACTGTAACCTCTGCTTCCCAGGCTCAAGCCAATCCTCCCACCTCAGCCTCCCAAGTAGCTGGACTACAGGCACACAACACCATGCCTGGCTAATTTTTTTTTTTTTTTTTGTAAAGATGGGGTTTCATCATGTTGCCCAGGCTGGTCTTGAACTCAAGTGACCCACCTGCCCTGGCCTCCCAAAGTGCTGGGGTTACAGGTGTGAGCCACGGTGCCCAGACCTAATGCTGATTTTCATTTACTCTTCCTAAAGTTGACTGTAAAAACTGAAGCTAGAAACTCTAAGTAGAATGTTCTCAGGACCACTGCACTGCACAACTCTAGGGGTGCCATATACGTTTTGCTATATGAATAGTAGCCGTTGGAGCTGAGCAGGACACAGCCTGCCCAGATTTGCCAGGGTCAGAGTGAGACATCTCTCACAGACTGCCCAAAGGGAAGGGCAGTAACTGTCCCAACCTACAGATCTTTGCCCACCTGAGCCAACCCCACCCATCCTAATGGGAAACCAAGGACTCTAGGGGGGCTCCCTGCTGCCCTGGAACTAACTCTGGGCAGGTTAGCATCCAATGCCCACTGCTTCTGTCCAGTCCAGTCTTTTTTCTGTGTTTACACTCACTCTCATCACTCTTCCAACTGCCGGAACTCACCTTCCCTTGAAATTGAAGCTGATTCAGTGTCAATTAAAAGGATTCGGTTGCAGCTGGTGGAGGTGGGCAGAATGGCAGAGAATGTAAAGGGAAAATAAAACAAACCTGTGCAGAAGATGCCGAAAGAAGGGGAGAGATAAAAGAGGATAATATAGCAGACATCACCTCTACCCGTTCTTTCAATATATCCATTTAATCCTCACAATAATATTGTGTGGGCTCTTTAACCTTAGTTCACCGCTCTACAGATGAGAATACTGAGGGCACAGAAGTGAGGAATTTGCCTAAGTAGACAAAGAGTCAGTGGCAGCACCAGACATTGAACCCAGACAGTCTGGCACCTGGGCCCTTGCTCTTACCCACTGCACCAGGCTAAGCATGGGAGGGTGGAGGCGCAGAAAAGGTCGAGGTGAGTGTGGACTGGGCCAGTGGCAGGCAAAGGTAGGCAGAGGCTCCCTGAGTCACCACCCTCCTCTCCCCCAGCTGAGCAACTCACCGTAGTGGGGAAGATTTCCTTCAATCCCAAGGACGTGCTGGGCCGCGGGGCAGGCGGGACTTTCGTTTTCCGGTGAGTGGCAGCCAGGAGCCAAGCTGGGGACACGGCACTCACAGCCCTCGTGGGCACTGTCCCCAAGAGAGACATTCTTCCAAAGACTCCCCGAGGTGGGTACAGGTTAATCCCTCACTCACCAGTCCTGCTCTTTCCTTTATCTGCTTTTTTTTTTTTTTTTTTTTTGAGTCTTTTTCTGTTGCCCAGGCTGGAGGGCAGTGGTGCAATCTCAGCTCACTGCAACCGCTGCTTCCCAGGTTGAAGCAATTCTGGGCTTCAGCCTCCCCAGTAGTTGGGATTACAGGTGTGTATCACCACGCCCGGCTAATTTTTACATTTTTTTAGTAGAGACAGAGTTTCGCCATGTTGGCCAGGCTGGTCTCGAACTCCTGACCTCAAGTGATCCTCCCGCCTTGGCCTCCCAAAGTGCCCTTTATCTCGTTTCCCTGAATGCCCCCCTGCCCCCGCCATCACCCACTTTCCAGGGGACAGTTTGAGGGACGAGCAGTGGCTGTCAAGCGGCTCCTCCGCGAGTGCTTTGGCCTGGTTCGGCGGGAAGTTCAACTGCTGCAGGAGTCTGACAGGCACCCCAATGTGCTCCGCTACTTCTGCACCGAGCGGGGACCCCAGTTCCACTACATTGCCCTGGAGCTCTGCCGGGCCTCCTTGCAGGAGGTGAGTTGAGGGCTCAGGGAGGGTGGGGGTAGAAGGTCCGGGCTGGAGATTGATGCTTTGGCCCTCACTGCTGCTCAGTACGTAGAAAACCCGGACCTGGATCGCGGGGGCCTGGAGCCCGAGGTGGTGCTGCAGCAGCTGATGTCTGGCCTGGCCCACCTGCATTCTTTACACATAGGTACCCGCACTACCCCTGCCTCCCGCTTCCTGTCCTTAGCTCCTGCCTTCCGCCCTCAGCAACCAGCTTTCTTTCTGCCCACCTCCCACAGTGCACCGGGACCTGAAGCCAGGCAATATTCTCATCACCCGGCCTGACAGCCAGGGCCTGGGCAGGGTGGTGCTTTCAGACTTCGGCCTCTGCAAGAAGCTGCCTGCTGGCCGCTGTAGCTTCAGCCTCCACTCCGGCATCCCCGGCACGGAAGGCTGGATGGCGCCCGAGCTCCTGCAGCTCCTGCCACCAGACAGTCCTGTGAGTCTATCCACCAAGTCCTCCAGGCACACAGCTGCCCCAGGCTGCAGGAATCCGTCCCTGTCCCAGTTCCCCTCCTGAGGAGACTCCATGACACTTGCTGTGTGACTTTGAGCTGCTCCTCCAAGCTTGTTTCTTCTTAAAGAAGGGATAATTTGTCCTTCCTTCTACAGCAGTGTCAGGAACTGTTTTGCCACCCAGGGGACATTAGGCAATGTCTGGAGACATTTTTGACTGTCATGACTTGGGAGGGAGGGGCTACTGGCATCTGCTGGAAATGCTGCTAAACGTCTTACAGGACAGGACAGCACTCAACCCAAAGAATTAACAAAATGTCAGTGGTGCTGAGGTTGGGAAACCCTGAGCTAGAAAATGGTTTGCAATCTTCACTGTGCTTCACAACCGCTGCACAACTTTAAAAAAGGATGCCCATTGCCGGGTGTGGTGGCTCACGCCTGTAATCCCAGCACTTTGAGAGGCCAAGGCAGGCGGATTGCTTGAGCTCAGGAGTTCAAGACCAGCCTGGGTAACCTAGGGATACCTCATCTCTACCAAAAGCACACACAATTTAGCCGGTGTGGGTGTGTGCATCTGTGGTCCCAGCTACTTGGGAGGCTGAGGTGGGAGGATCACTTGAGCCTGGGAGGTGGGAGTTCCAGAGAGTCAAGATCAGGCCACTGCACTCTAGCCTGGACAACAGAGTGAGACTCTCTCTCTCTCAAAACACAAAAAAAAAACAAACAAAAAAACCCAGACCCCACACCCAGTGATTTTGACCTAATTGCCTGGGTCATTTTTATGTGGAGCCAAGTTTGAGAACCACTGGTGTGGAAGGTTTCGGAGGGCATCAGATGAGCTAATTAGTTGATACACAGAGCAGCATCTGACCCACACAGACAGACACTTGCGTTTGGGACCCCAGAATTGTGGCTTTTGAGTCACAGTGTGTGGGCGGAAGTTGAAGCCAGAGAAATAGATGCCAATCACACAAAAGGACAGTCACCAGGGAAGGCTGCCCCCTCCTAAAGTTGAGAGAAAGCTCAAAGTGGTGACTTGGGCTCAAGGACTAAATGCGTGATGTCATGAGACTGTACAGTTTATTTTTAAATTAGTGGCCAATATATATATATATCTTTTTCTTTTTCTTTTCTTTTTTTTTTTTTTTGAGATGGAGTTTCGCTCTTGTTGCCCAAGCTGGAGTGCAGCGGCGTGATCTCAGCTCACTGCAACCTCCGCGTCCTGGGTTCAAGTGATTCTCCTGCCTCAGCCTCCCTAGTAGCTGGGACTACAGGCAGGAGCCACCACGCCCAGTTAATTTTTGTATTTTTAGTAGAGATGGGGTTTATGCCATGTTGGCCAGGCTGGTCTCGAACTCCCAACCCTCAGGTGATTCACCTACCTCGGCTTCCCAAAGTGCAGGGATTATAGGCATGAGCCACTGTGCTTGGCCCTATATATGAATTTTGAGACAGGGTCTTGCTCTGTCATGGAGTGCAGTGATACCATCACAGCTCACTGCAGCCTTAAACTCCTGAGCTCAAGGGATCCTCTCACCTCAGCCTCCCAAGTTGTTGGGACTACGGGCACGCAACATGGCACCCAGTTAATTTTTGTATTTTTTTGTAGAGGCAGGGTCTCACCATGTTGCCCACGCTGGTCTTGAACTCTTGGCCTCAGGCAATCCTCCCACCTCGGCCTCCCAAAGTGCTGGGATTACAAGGTGTCAGCCACATGCCTGGCCCGATATTTTAACGTTTGAGAAATTCCACATACAATTTGGATTTCTGGATTTTCTTTTAAAAATCGGAATCACTTGAGGCCAAAAGTTCGAGATCAGCCTGGGTAACATAAGAAGACCCATCTCTACAAACAATTTTAAAATTGGTCGGGCATGGTGACACATGCCTGTAGTCCCAGCTACTCAGGCCAAAGACTGCTAGAGCCCAGGAGTTTGAGGTTACAGTGAGCTGTGGTTGTGCCACTGCACTCTAGCCTGGGCAACATGAGCAAGGCCCCAACTCAATAAAAACAAAATCAGCTCTGCCACCCTGGAGAGTCCCCTGGTGACAATGGGTTGGAGCTAAGGACCAGGTGCCCCTGCAGACAGAACCCATGCCAGGTCATCACAGTCCTCCTGATTGCCTTATTGCCTCATGTCTGGCACCCACATATGTTACCTGCCTACACCCTGCAGGAATGAAGCTTGGAAACCTGAACTAGCTCAGCAGGGGCAAAGGTTTTGCATGAAAACCATGGGACCCCTATAGTGGTGTGTGTGTGTGGGCAGGGAGCATCTAGAGCCAAGGAGATGCTGCCCAGGAAGCTTCTTGAGTTCCAATCTGAACCAAACCCCTGGCTGCTCTATCAGTCCATGGGAGAATTTAGCCAGGCCGACTTCCTGGAAGCAGAGATTTCCTTCTTACGCCCATCTCTCTTGTCCCAGACCAGCGCTGTGGACATCTTCTCTGCAGGCTGCGTGTTCTACTACGTGCTTTCTGGTGGCAGCCACCCCTTTGGAGACAGTCTTTATCGCCAGGCAAACATCCTCACAGGGGTTCCCTGTCTGGCTCACCTGGAGGAAGAGGTCCATGGTGAGGGAGCCCTGGGCCGGGCAGAGAAGGGAGGAAGGGCAAGACACTAGGCAGGCCTGAAACAGACTTTTCTCTTCCTCTTCCATCCTCCAGACAAGGTGGTTGCCCGGGACCTGGTTGCAGCCATGTTGAGCCTGCTGCCACAGGCACGCCCCTCTGCCCCCCAGGTGCTGGCCCACCCCTTCTTTTGGAGCAGAGCCAAGCAACTCCAGTTCTTCCAGGTCAGAAGGAAAGCTTGGGAATGGTCCCCAAAAGTCCTAAGTTTGGGTCCTGGGCAATTAGAAATGGGATATTAGATTGGCTGAGGGAAAACAGGAAGAGCTACCTGGTCCTGGCAGCCTGGCTCTTTCCCTAAACTGGGAGCCAGCCTGGACTCCTAAACTCCACCATCTTGGCACTCTCCGGTCCACTCACTGCCAGCTTCGCCAGCCCCAGCTGCCCTTTGTATGGGAATATAGCCCATTCCTTTCCACCTGAGTCGTCACTCATGCTGTGCCAGTAGCCCACTGCACTTGTGTGAACTTGAGCAAGAGACTTCGTACCACTGAACTGCAGTTTGCTCATCTGTAGAAAGGGGACAGCAGTACCAAGCTCATAGGTTGGTGGTAAATAACAGAGGCGTGGCATAGAGAAGCTTCACGCCCCCAGAGGCAATGTTCCTTGTCAGTCACCCTAAATCACTCCCCTAAGTCAGACAACACACTCCTGGCTATGTGGCATCTGGCCCCGGTCACAAGGCTCAGGAGCTCTCTGGGGCCCCAGGATGTCAGTGACTGGCTGGAGAAGGAGTCTGAGCAGGAGCCCCTGATGAGGGCACTGGAGGCAGGAGGCTGCGCGGTGGTCCGGGACAACTGGCACGAGCACATCTCCATGCCACTGCAGACAGGTAGAGGCTACACTCAGGTGGGCCTGGGCGGTGGAGGGGAGCCCAGCAGGGACAGTTTCAGGACACTGAATTCCCTGTCCACAGACCTGAGAAAGTTCCGGTCCTATAAGGGGACATCAGTGCGAGACCTGCTCCGTGCTGTGAGGAACAAGGTATGTGTTGGGGCCTGGGTGGGCCTGGGTCTTGGGGAGGCATGGCTGCAGCTGAGCCAGGGTTCTCTTGCTCTGCCTACCCCCAGAAGCACCACTACAGGGAGCTCCCAGTTGAGGTGCGACAGGCACTTGGCCAAGTCCCTGACGGCTTCATCCAGTACTTCACAAACCGCTTCCCACAGCTGCTCCTCCACACGCACCGAGTCATGAGGAGTTGTGCCTCTGAGAGCCTCTTCCTGCCCTACTACCCACCAGACTCAGAGGCCAGGGGGTCGTGCCCTGGGGCTGCAGGGAGGTGAGGTGGGCCGGAGGCCACACAAATGGTCTCCATGCTGGCTAGCTGAAGAGCTGAGCCTGTGGCTGGCCTCAGAATCAGAATCAGAAAAGACTGCCAGGCTGGGTGCAGTGGCTCACACCTATACCAGCATTTTGGGAGGCTGAGGTGAGAGGATCACTTGAGCTCAGGAATTCCAGACCAGCCTGGCCAACATGGCAAGACCCCACCTCTACAAAACATTTGAAAAATTAGCCAGGCATGGTGGCGCACGCCTGTAGTCCCAGCTGCTTGGGAGGCTAAGGTGGGAGAATCGCTTGAGCCCAGGAGTTCCAGGCTGCAGAGAGCCAGGATCATGCCACTGCACTCCAGTCTGGTCCACAGACACTGTCACCCCCTACCCCCCACAAGACTGGCAGAGGCTGGGCAGCCTGGGGCTGACGAAGCAGAGATGTTCCCTGGATCCCAGGCCCTGGCACCCCTCAGGAAATACAAGAAAAAGAAGATTCACATCTGTTTAATGTGTATAAAGCCAAGGAAAGGACAGTTCCGAACTCAATAGAAATATTCTGTACAATTCATATGGTGGGGTTGAGGGGGAGGGGACGAGGCTGTAGAACCCACACCCGAACATGTACAAAAATAACTTACACAGCAACCCCCACCTGCAAGGATGATGCAGCTCTGCCCAGCCACCGGGGCTGGGGGGCACACTGCAGACATGGCACCGCAGGAGCCAACCAGTATGGGCCCCAGATGCTGGTGGGAGTGAGGAGGGCACCAGTCCGGAGGGGAGGGCGGCTATTAGGAGGCCTTGAGGCGGTTGCTGGCCGAGCGTGAGCTCAGCAGCTTGTCCACCATAGTGCGGGCATAGCGGAGCCGGCTGGCCAGCTCCTTGCAGCAGCCGTACTCCTCCAGGAGACTCAGGCGGTACGTGCGGAAGTCCCGCTTCTCATCGATGTAGGTCACGGCTGCCATCAGTGGGCACAAGATGAGCTTGGTGTGATCCTGCAAGAGAAGAGGGGCAGGGATTGCTGATCCCAGAGGCCAGTGTATGTTAGGGAGTAGAGGGAAGACACAACAGGTTATAGGTACCTGAGCCATTCACTCCATACTCAACTCACATGGGCCACTGCCAAGCACGTGGAGCCTACCCCAGCTCTCTCCTGCCCCTGGTGACATCCAGCTCACCTGGAAGAAGTTGATCTGCACGCTGCCATTGCTGAGGTGCAGGATGATGGCACTGCGGGTGCGGAACCAGGTCCGCAGGTAGGGCAGCCGGGCGAGCTCATCACCTTCACGCGGCGTGATGTTGGCACCTGCCTTCAGCAAATGCTCACTCATGTAATTGCGGAAATATTTAAGGAGGGTGATCTGGATGAAAAGTAAGTGAGGGGTTCCAGAATTAGTCTCGCCCTCCAGCACAGGTCCCACTCCCGCAATAGCACGCCCCATGGGCCGGACGGCACTTACCTTCTTCATCAAGGAGTTGGGATGGGAACTCACGGTGAGGTAGGACTCGGTGCCGTCACGCTCTATGTACTGCAGGCTGTCACCATCGTTGTAGAGGATGAGGCGTGTTGAGTCATTGAAGAGCACCCCCACGCTGTTATCACAGAGCTGATACCCTAGGGATCAGTGAAGAGAGGTCTCAGAAAGGGGGAATAGAAAGTGGGGAGTGGGGCTGGGTGCGGTGGCACATGCCTGTGATTCCAGCACTTTGGGAGGCTGAGGGGGGAGGACTGTTTGAGCCTAGGAGTTTGAGACCAGTCTGGGCAATGTAATGAGACCTCATCTCTACAAACTATTTTAAAAATTAGCTGAGCGTGATGGTGCATGCCTGTAGTCCCAGCTACTTAGGAGGCTGAGCCTGCAGCCAGGCATAAGCCTGGAAGTTTGAGGCTGTAGTGAGTCATGACTGTGCCACTGCACTCCAGCCTGGGCGACAGAGTAGGACCCTGTCTCTGGGCAGTGGGGGAAAAAGGCTGGGGAGTCGGGGAGCACTGGGAGCTGGAATTGGGAGGCCTGGGATGGAGAAAGGAGGGCACTAAGAGTACCTGGGAGCTCAAAAAGGCCAGAGCCTGTAACAACTGAAAAGGTCACCTGGCTGTGCCTGAGTCACCCACCTGGTTCTGGAAGAAACCTACCAAGGCCGTACTTGTCCGAATAGTCCACCCACTTGCTGACCCAGAAGATGGGGATGCAGGCAGGATCCTCAGCCTCCTCTAAGACAGAAACAGACAGACAATTGGTCAGGACCAGCCTCTTCTTCTCTGGTCCACACATGTGGCCCACACCAGGGAACAAGGAAGCCTGCTGGGCACACCACCTGGGCTCAGTTGAGAGGCCTAGGGCCCCAGAGAAGAGCAAAGCAGGGCCTCTGCTGCCAACAGGCTCAGACAAGCAGCAGCATAGACATCTCTACACAGAAAGTTTCAGCACAGCGCACCAAGTTCCACTCACTCCTTCATTCCACTGACCCATTTACTGAAGGCTTACCGTGCCAGGCACTGTTGCAGGTACAGTGAGCAACAGACAAAACCCCAGCCTCCACAGAGCTTACACTGTGGTTGCAGGGGCAAAGACTAATCACATTAAGTATGGGCAAAATATCAGTGACTTCTATCATGGTAAGAGTCAGAGACATCTAGTTTTCCAGTTTGGAGTAATTAGGAAACTGTGAAGACAGAAGCCGGCTGCAAACACATTAAAATGTTATATTCAGTGCATGCAACAAACACCTTACTTTAAATCCAATCAGAGAAGAAGGACGTGTTGGACTATGTTGGGTGAGAAGTGTTATGGAAAACTATGCAGTGGGTAAGGGGATGAGAAGCACCAGCAGAGGGGCCAGGGAGATGCTCACGGAGGTGACACCGGAGCAGACACTTGAAGGAGGCCACAGTGTGAGCCATGTGGTGTCTGGAAGAAGTGCTTTCATGCCAGGGCCAGGGAGAAAGCCCTGAGGCTGCAGTACGTCTGGGTCTGTTATTTCAAGGGTCTTGAAGAAACAACAGGAACTTACTGAGCAAAAGAAACAGCGTGTGAAGGTGGCACATCGAGGTGCTAGAGTAAGAGACGGATCAGAAAAGAAGGCAGGAGCCACAGCAAGCAGGGCCTCGGATATCAGGAAATGGGGAAACCAATGGTCCTATGGAGACAGGGCCTGGACAAGTCACCAGTGCTTTGTTGGCCAAGGCTCCTCCTGCCTTCTCCAGATGCCCCAAGCAATCCTGCCCCGCCCAGGGCCCCGCAGTACCCACCTTGCCTGACCAGCCCACGCTCCGAGGGCTTGGAGGCATTGACACTGTGCAGCTGCTGCAGCATGTCACTGAGGTGGCAGTCGACCACCTCACCTGTCTCTCGAACCACTGGTTCTTCCTTTTCCCGGGTACGCTCAGGCAGGGCGTTCTCCAAGCCTAGAAAGGTGACAAAAACAGGGGCGTTGGGAAGGGCATAGGACTCCCCTGCCACAGCTGAAACTCTTCCGAAAGAAAGATTCTCTTAGCTACCATTGCTTTGGGGAAACTGAGTCAGTGCCTGGTTATTAGAGCAGCAGCTGCCATGCTCAGGTGACAGGCACAAGTGCTCACTATGAGGCAACAGATCTTCAGATGCTCTGGCCTCTGACCCAACGATGTGGCCCTGCAGGATACGACCTGCCACTCAGGCAAACAGCTTGAAGGCAACAGCAGCTCAGAGCTGCCCAGCTTCGAGCAAAGAATTAAAAGCATCTTCAGCATCCAGGCAGATGGAAGGGCTGAGTAGTTCAGTTCATCCACAGAATGGATTCAGTCGGCATTTAAATAAAAACACAAGAAATTTTTTTCCACCCCAAAATTTGCTTTATATGCTTATTTATAACCAAAAAAAGCTTGAAAAGATACATGAAATTTTAATGCTGATTATATCTGGGCAGTAGAAACACAGATTATTTTTGTTGTCTTTTTCCTTATTTATTTATTCCCCCACCAACATGTGGTAATTCTCCTTGCATAATATAAAATGTTTAAGTTTTCAATTAAAAAACAATGCCATGATAGGGACTTAGGTATGAAATAATAAGATATTAGGGATTTGCTTTAAACACTCCAGCAAGGCCAGGCCTAGTGGCTCACACCTGTAATCCCAACACTGTGAGAGGCCAAGGCAGGTAGACTGAGCTCAGGAGTTTGAGACCAGCCTGAGCAACATGGCAAAACCCTGTCTCTACTAAAAATACAGAAACTAGCTGGACATGCTGTCCCAGCTACTTGGGAAGCTGAGGTGGGAGAGTCACTTGAACGCAGGAGGTGGAGGCTGCTGTAAGTCATGATCTTGCCACTGCACTCCAGCCTGGGCAACAAAGCAAGACTGTCTCAAATAAATAATAAATAATAATAAATAGTAAATAATAATTTTTTTAAACTCCAGTAACAAAAAAGGCAGAGGCTGGAATAAATAAATAAAGTCTGTCCAAATGTTGATAAGTAGTAAAAATAGATGAAACATGGGACTCATCATACAGTTCTCTCCACCTTTGGGTAACTGAAAATTTCCTTAAGTTTTTAAAATGCTATATGAAAAATTAAAACTGAAAGAAAAAAAGTAGGAGGCTGAGGCAGGAGGATCACTTGAGCTCAAGAGTTCGAGACCAGTGTGTGCAACAGGGCAAGACCTCATCTCTACAAAAAATTTAAAAATTGGTCAGACATGGTGGCACGTGCCTAAAGTCCCAATTACTTGGGAGGCTGAGGGTGGAGGATCACTTGAGCCCAGGAGGTCAAAGCTACAGTGAGGTACAACTGTGCCACTGTGCTCCAGCCTGGGAAACAGAGCAAGACCCTGTCTCAAATTAAAAAAAATAAATGAAAACAGAGAAATAAGTAATCCTTTAAAATAGAGCCCAAAGAATAAAATATCCATGAGTCTATTTCAGACATAACCAAATAAATAAATCAATGGGAGAGAAGGAACAGCTCTTCCTTACAGAAGAATTCCAATTATTAAATGTAGAAAAAGTAAGGAAAAGAAAAATTGCCATTAGAACATCACTGTAGGCAGGACACAGTGGCTCACGCTTGTAATCCTAACACTTTGGGAGGCAGAGGAGGATCACTTGAGGGCAGGAGTTTGAGATAAACCTGGTCAACATAGTGAGATCTTGTCTCTACAAAAAAAAATTTTTTTTTTTTTTTTTTTTTTTGAGACAGAGTCTTGCTCTGTTGCCCAGGCTGGAGTGCAGAGGTGAGATCTCGGCTTACTACAACCTCCACCTCCCGGGTTCAAGTGATTCTTGTGCCTCAGTCTCCTGAGTAGCTGAGATTACAGGTGCACACCACCATGCCTGGCTAATTTTTTGTACTTAGTAGAGATGGGGTTTTGCCATGTTGCCCAGGCTGATCTCAAACTCCTGAACTCAGGCAACCCGTCCACCTCGGCTTCCCAAAGAAAAAAATTTTTAATTAGCTGGGTATAGTGGCACATGCCTGTAGTCCTAGCTACTCTGGAGGGTGAGGCACGGGGACTGTTTGAGCCCAGGATGTTGAGGCTGCAGTGAGCTATGATTGAGCCACTGCATTCCAGCCTGGGTGACAGCAAGTCCTGAGACCTGTCTCAAAAAAAATTCCACTGTAGTAGCTGCAAGGTATGTGGAAACTCTGGGGAGTTTTTTGTTGTTGCAACTTTTCTGTATAAGCCTAAAATTATTCCAAAATGAAGTTTAAGAAAAACCAATGCCTAAAAATTGAAAACTGAAAAATGAACTGAAGTTGTACATCAAATTGGTGATATATCCACAGAGCAAAAAAGTATTTCAAGTGACTTTTTAAAACTATGTATCCTTAGTGAAATATACTTTAAAGACAATTAGAAATGCAAGAAAATAAAATATCATTTAATAACAGGAACTCATATATGTTGAAAATTTTAAGCATATTAATGTAAGGGAACAAGATTTTCAGTTTAAGAGAAAATATGAGTATAAACCAAACAAGTAAAAACAGATTAATATTGTGTCTGAATCAGACACTTAATTACCAAAAGAAAAGCAGTAACTCCCCAGTGGAGGAAAAGAAAATCACTGTAAGACAGTATGTATCAATGTTAAATTTCCTGAACTTGGGAATTGTGCCAGGTATTATTGTTATGTAAAAGAATCTGTTTGCAGGAAGCATACACTGAAGCATTAAGGGTAAAGTGTAGGACGTATACAACTTTTGAATGTTCAGAAAAAAGAGGGCAATTGATAAATGCGAAAAAAAAGTGTTAACTGGTGAATCTGGGCAAAAGGGGAGAATGGGAGTGTCTTTTTGGTCTCTGCTACGTTTTTCATAAGCTTACAATAATATAAAAGAATGTTTAAAAATGTGTGATTTGGAAATACCAACACAGACTCAATGTCAGTCTTCCCCCACTGCCACAAATGCAGTTCCTAATTCTGTTCTCTGAAGAGACCTAGAAGCAATGACAACCTAAGCAATGGCATATGGTTTTTTGATTTTTAAGAAAATGTCCATCTTTTTTAAGAGAAGTATTCTGAAGTTTATATAGGTATAAAAATGGCAAAGTGCCTGGGGTTAACTTTAAAAAATACTTCAAAGAAACAAAAATAAATGAATGAAGCAAACTTGACAAAATCCTGATAACTAATTATTGAATCTGGTAAGTATGAGGGAATCCATTACATTATGCTCTATATGTGTACTTGAAAATTTTCATGCTGGCTGGGTGCAGTGGCTCACACTTGTAAACCCAGTACTTTGGAAGGCCAAGGCGGGCAGATTGCTTGAGCTTAGGAGTTTGAGAACAGCCTGGGCAACAAAGTGAGAATCTGTCTCTACAAAAAATACAAAAAATTAGCCAGGCATGGCAGCACACGCCTGTAGTCTCAGCTGAGATGAGAGGATGACTTGAGCCTGGGAGGCAGAAGTTGCAGTGAGCCAAGATCACACCACTCCACTCCAGCCTAGGAGACAGCCAGACCTGTCTCAAAAAAAAAAAAAAAAGGAAATTTTTATGTTTTTCAATGAATCATGAAAAAGTGTTAGAAGGCCAGGCGTAGCAGCTCATGCCTGTAATCCCAACACTTTGGGAGGTGGAGGTGGGAGGATCACTTGAGCCCAGGAGTTCCAAGACCAGCCTAGGCAACATGGCAAAACACTGTCTCTACAAAAACAAAAAAAAATTAGCCAGGCATGGTGGCTCATGCCTGACAGTCCCAACTACTTGGGAGGCTGAGATGGGAGGATTGATTGAACCCTAGAGTTGAAAGCTGCAGTGAGCTGTGATTGTGCCTCTACACTTCAACCTGGAAAACAGAGGAGAGACCCTGTCTCCAAAAAATTAAATTGATTAATTAAAGTGATTGGAAAGAATTTTTTAGGCTTGGTATCAGTCCATTTTCTTCTTCTTGAGCATAGCAGGTTTATCCAGCCATGGTAAGGTCAGTCTTTCCCGGCAAGGCCGAGGAGCAGATGGGCATGGGAATCACGAATTTAAGCAGATGGGCATGGGAATCACGAATTTAAGGACAGAGGTCTGTCCTAAACCAAACCTGAGTTCTTGGGGCCAGGGACTAAGCCACACACACCCCTACAACCTGGGCTTTCTCTGGGGAGTCTGCTGTCTTACCCAGACCCTTGTTGTACCTTTATTGAGGACTGTGAGGGGCTTCCGGTTGCTGGGGTCCAGGCTGCTGGGAGCAATTGAAAACCTCGGTGGAATGGTCAGGCAGGTGATGGGGAGACGGGCAGGGATATAGCCAGAAGTAAAGAACTCGTCGTTAAGCAGCTCATTAATGGTTGGGCGGGCAGTGGGATCTGTCTGAAGCATCTTCTGGATGAGGGAGGCGGCCACGGGGTTGATGTGCTAGGGCAGAGAGAGGGACAGCCATAAGCAGAATGTGAAGGGGACCCGGAGTACAGTACGGCCTCAAAGGGGCTGCAGGCCAATAGACCACACGCAGTCCCCAGTCTCAAATACACCCCAGGTTAGTGGTTCACAACTTGGTTCAATGCCAACTTCTCCACTGTCGGCTTTACTGAGCACCTTTGACAGAAGGGTCAATGGACTGTGGCCTAGCACCAACTCACTTTCCTGGCACTTACTATGTGCCAGGAAAGCATTCTAAGCACTCCTGTACTTAGCTCACTTAGCCCTCACTAATACATCTAAGGGGTGGGGCTCTATTACCATCCCTTTTTTGCAGAGGAGGAAAGTGAGGCACAGAGAGGGTGAAGGCCTTGTCTAGTTGGCTTGATTCCATGCTGTCTCTGACAGTGAACTGACACTTTGTGATGGATTTACTATGTCCGTCCTTATGGTGACAGGCCTCTTGGCTTCACACAGGGACACTACACTTCAAACTGGCTGTGTGCTAGACTTCTGCAGGAACCAGCTATTCCTTTAAATGCATTTCTGTTGGTGGTTGTGAAAATACACACCATGGCCAGGTGCGGTGGCTCACGCCTGTAATCCTAGCACTTAGGGAGGCTGAGGCGGGCAGATCACGAGGTCAGGAGATTGAGACCATCCTGGCTAACACAGTGAAACTCTCTTTCTACTAAAAATACAAAAAAAGTAGCCGGGTGTGGTGGCGGGCACCTGTAGTCCCAGCTACTCAGGAGGCTGAGGCAGGAGAATGG